ATCTTGAAAATACGGAATATACCGGTGAATAATATCACAAAACTCATGTAAATACCAAATATCGGGAGGTACCGTTTTATGGGGGCTATACGAAGATCTGGACCTGCATAGACAATTTTCGGTGACAAATACGAAATTAAAAACAATTCCGGTGAATAATGTCGCTAAATTAATTAAAATACGGAATATCGGGAGGTATCGTTATATGGGTGCTATACGAAGACCTGAACCGAAAATCAATTTTCTGTCACAGGCTGTAGTACCCATTAGGAACTTCAAATACGAAATTTAAAACAATTCCGGAGAATAATGTCGCTAAAATCATCAAAATACCGAATATCGGGAGGTATCGTTATATGTCTTAGGCTGCAGTATTCATTACGAACTTCAAATAACAAATTTGAAACAATTCCGGTAAATAATGTCGCTAAAATCATCAAAATGCCGAACATCTGTAGGTGTCGTTATATGGAGGCTATACGAAGGCGTAGACCTTTGAAACAATTTCGGTGAATAATATCGCTAAAATCATCAAAATACCGAATATAGGGAGGTACCGTTATATGGAGGCTATACCAAAACGTGGACCTACACGTGGATCCATTTTCAACACCAAAAATCCTGCAGACATAGTAAACACTTGAGTAAAATTTTATTAATCTACTTCAGTTCGTTCGGAAGCTAGAGTGATTTCCACAGACGGATAGAGGGACGGACATCGCTAAACCGACATATAATTTTATGCTGATCAAGATTATGTACACTTTGTGGGGTCTGAAATGTATATTTCGATGTGTTACAAACGGAATTACAAACATAATATACCTTCCCTACTACGTTGGAGGGTATAAAAATGCTAACATGTACAAAAAATTTAATAGCTTGTATTTGACATTTGAAATGGAAGTCACTAATGGGGTGCAAGATAGATGTTCCAAAGGGTTTATGGGAATTCGAACTTTGAGGTTTCGAAAAGTCCAAAAATAGTACTAAAATTCTTAATTGGTACTATGATTGTTAGAAAAATACTAACTGGTACAAAATTAGGTTTTGGATAGACATAAAATTCTAAAATTTAATATTACTGATGGTATCTGTGTGTGAGATTAGGCTGGAATCCCGACAGGGAGGTGTCTGTTGGTATCTGGAATTGAGATATGGAAGTGGTTTTGTATTGTAATTGTACAAAAAGTACAAGTTGGTACCAAATGTTGAGGTCTCTGTTGGTATCTGAGGTTGAAATATCGAGATTGTGTTGTGGATGCGTAGTTTAACTGTACCAATAGTACTAAATTTGGTATTGGGTGAAGGAATGGTGGTAAAATCTTGAAATTTGATATATATTTCACTGATGTTGTGGTTTTGGAAATTTGGTATTGGGTGAAGGAGAACAGGTGAAATCCTGTTGGTGTCTGTCGTTGAGATATGGTGGTTTTGGAAATGCTTTTTTAATTTTTTTGTACAAAAAGTACTAAGTGGTACTAAATTGGGTATTAGGATAAGGTATACGTCTGGAATCCTAAAATTTGATATTTAAGTTTCGGTAGGTATATTGAACTGGGATATGGAGGTGGTTTTGCAAATGAGTACCATAGTAATTCTGAAGTTTGGTATACAACAATATTTATTCGAAGTTTATAGAGAAGGATATTAGTAAAACCATTGCACAATGAACCCAAATTCAATTCTCAATCCAAAAATATTTTATATAAATATTAGGGTTTATTTATGGAGACTTTGAAATATTTTCAAATTTAGAATTGGATTTGGGTCCATTCTGCAATTGTTTTAATAATATACTCCTCTGTTAGCTTCGAACAAACATTGTTGGATACTCGAAAATACTATAAGCTAGAGGCGTTGAGGATCGATAAGTTCTATAATCTCAAAATTATGTAATAGTTACAAATTCATAACTTCGTAACTTAATGTTGCTGCAAGTGGAAAAATACAAAAAAGTACATTAATTTGACATGGAGATCTTTTTTTTGTCTATATGTCTTTTTTTTTGTCTAAAATTTAAAGTTTAAATTATTTATTTGAGTTCTTTTGATGTTTACGAATATATAAAATCATTTTCCTAATTCGCTATAATTACTAGTAAGTGTGCCATGGTATGTAGAGATTAGCTACTACTAAAAATCTGAATCTATAAATTTTGCATTATTAGTCTTGAGCAATCCTAAGGACCCAAAGCTTGAATTTTTGAAAGAAGGAGCCAAAGTTCTGAACTTTGTTTATAATTCTTTTAATACTCTATAAAAGGGTCCTTGGAGTTTTTGAACAAAAACATTTCCAGTTGTACTAAAAACTACTAAATATAATGTTATTGTCATTCGATGAACTAAATGAATTTGAAAAGTACTGAAGTATACACTGATATAAGGTGAACTGATAGAAGTGGACTTTGAATCGATAGGTGTGTTAAAGTGAGAAAAGATCAGTTTTTTTTTTTTGAAAAATCGGTAGTAGTACTAAATTTATGACCATTGGTATTATCTAAAAAACTTGAGTTCCTAATTTTAATTTTAAGATTGGCATTAATTTTTGTGATCCCGAAAATATGGGGATTAATAACATCATATCAAGTGTACGAAATCGTTTTAAATTCAGTACCATTCCTATGGAGAACAAATTGATGCAGCATTTTTCAAATCTGATATGAGGTCAAATATTGCTCTGCAGTTGTAATGAGGAGATGATTTTGAAACTTCGATACATTTGTAGTACCTGATAACATTTGTATTATTAAAAGGTGTAAGTAACGAGTGGAAACTCGAAACGAAAAAACTTTTATACTGGGTTAAGATAAGGACATTTTTTTGGGCATTTTGCAAATGTGCGGAATTGTCATACATTTTAAATTGAACTTTGATATGAGGAATCCTTATGGTCTGCTGGATTCGGGAAAAATGTATGACCCTGTATATTCGTACCAGAAGAGTACGAAAATTAAGTATATTTTGTATATTATAGTGTCGTCCTATTATAATTTTCGAATGCGTATACGGGGTGAGATAAATTAACTGCAACAAAGTCAAACGCCATACTTTTTAACATTTTTTTAATTTTTTTTAAATGAAAGCAAAAAATGTCGGAAATAGCATCAAATGTTAAAATAAGTTTACATTTGTTCGAATTGGTCACCTTTAGCACGAATTATGGCCTTCAAATGGCCAATGAAACCGTCACATGCTGCCCGAACATTGCTCTGCGGTATTTTGGTCCATTTCCGGCGAAGCGCTTGCTGTAGGTGATCAACTCTTTGGTATTTTTTAGTGCCAATCTTGCTTTCCGATCAAGGGTTTCGATCAAGTCGCTTCTTTACTTTTCGAACCATTTGTGCTGATGTTGATGCTAATGTTTTCTTCCGTCCACTTTCTTGACGTCGGGCCACGCTACCAGTATCACGATAACGAGCGATGTTACGAAGCACAAAAGATTTATTCACATTTTAATGCTGGAGTGCTCTAACGATAGCCATTTGTGGTTTTCCAGCCAAATATTTAGAAATCACTTTATCACGCTTGAAAATTCTCATCAAAATGCTATTGTACGCTTGTAAACAATATACTGAGCTGTAACTGGAATAATTTTAACAGCTGTCGGACGAGTGGCTTAGAAATGACAGCAGTCTGAAGTTGGTTGCAGTTTTTTCATCTCCCCCTGTATTTTGGTTTTTAATGAGATGGTGAAACATTTCACGTAGTAGAATGACCTTGTATGTGACTCGCAGATAAGTAATACACAGAAGAAACTGCTAGAGCTGCAATAGGGAAAATATTGCATGTAAATTACTTTTTCTTACAAATTCTGAAATTAAATCCTCAGTTTCATATATATTTACGTGCTTATTAATTATAAAGAAAGTTGTTCAGTATTTAACTTTTGTCAAGAAATTGAAATCTGATTTTGTAATAAAATATAATCATTATCAATTATACATAATTCATTTTATGTCCGTCATTCCTGTTAGAGTTCACAAAACTCCAATGATGATAAATCCGACTTTATTCAACAATTCTTTTATACATTGTTATGTTACTACAAGGTCGAATGCCCCGCCTAAAAGTTTTTTTTTCTGAATTGTTATTCTTGTCGATGTTTTAATTTTTACAACGTAAGTGCTTCGCAGACCACCGATAATTACTCTTCTCCTGTCGAATTCTGGCCAACTGTTCTTCGTTATTCGTTCCAATTGTCCAAAATCATTCATATCTTAATTGTATGTCTGACTGTGTCTACAGTCTTGACCTTAGTTAACATTGCTTATCGTATGGCATTCTGCTACAATTTAATGTTTTCACCGAAAACCATAAGACACACAGACATTTAAGTCAACATCATGCAATTAAAACACTGACAAAATTGGAACAGTTTTCAGTTTCAGTCGGTGAAAAAAACCCATGCCACATTAAAAATGGGTACAAAAGGTTTGAACTTCACACAATTTTTTTTCTTGGCTTTTGATTTTAATTCTCATGGCATTGCTTTTGTTGTTATTTTGGGCCACCTTTGTTTTAATTGTACCGGCCACGGTATGTTCTCTTGGTGTGTGCTTGTCTGGCTGGCTGCCTGCATTGTTAATTAAACATAGAGATAACAAGGCATTGATAATGTCCATAACGTTGGCCATAATCAAGTGGAGTTTTGTTTGTTTTGTTTTGTTTTTTTTTATATCTCAGACTCAATTTTCTAATTAGTCTCTAAATAAATGAAGTTATAATGTAATGTGACTCTAGCAAATTACCTCGTTTTGGTAAAATTTTAAAAGTTCGTGCTGGTGAACTTAATGAAAAATGCTATTTAGTAATACTTAATATTTTTGGATCCAATCCATCCATTGAATCCCCAAGCCATTAAATTTTCAAAGTATACCATATTTTTAGGCTGGAAATGATTTGTTTCTTTTCTGTTAAAAAAATAAGCTTTGATTGAGGTTCAATAGATTTTAACACACAGTTACCGATCAAGAGCTTTTAAGCTTAGCCTTGCCTTACCTTTGATGGTGGTTGTGTTGTTTGGTGATTTACATTGGGTTTGTGTCTTAAGTCTTTTGTTTTCTGAGGCATAATTCAGATATGTGTAAACGGTATTATATTCGGTGGGTTTCTAAGCAGAATTCAGGTGCTTTCTACACAAAATGCTCACGATTAAAAAAAAAAAAAAAAAAAAACAATCATGATGGTCCTGAGGACTTCAATATCTCCTAATAGTATGTCTGTAGATCTTCTCATAGGATATATCTTGCCATTCTTACAAGAGGTTTGTAGATTCTGCACTGAAGATCTGTTAACTCCCTTTGAAGATCTGCAAATGTTTGTGCAAGAGACCTGCATATTTTACTGTTAAAGATACGTAGATCGTCTAACCTGTAGAACTTCTTATAGAAGATATTCGCAAAAAATATCAGTACCTCTGTAAATCTACTTATATGAAAGAGTTGAGTGAAAAGTGTCTGACTGACTTGACTTGAACAGCGCCTTGGCCCAGCGAAAAGGCTGAAATGGCTAGTATTTTGAAATATTGCATGTCGTAAGTCTTGTTATGTAGGGATAAGATTTACTAAAGATTGAAATCATTGTATTGGGCAAACGGTCGGAAAATGTGGTGTATGATAGATGTTGTAATTTTTATACCCTCAGCCACATGGCTAGATAGGGTATACAGGTTGAGATGAAAAAACCTGCAACCAAATTCAGACTGCTGTCATTTCTAAGCCACTCGTCCGACAGCTGTTAAAATTATTCCAGTGACAGCTCATTACATTGGTAACAAGCGTACGAAAGCATTTTGGTGAGAATTTTCCAGAAAAAAAGTTATTCGCGATGGAATTTAAGCGTGATAGTGTGATTTCTTTATATTTGGCTGAAAAACCCCAAGTGGCTATCGTTAGGGCACTCCAGCATTTAAATGTGAATAAATCTTTTGTGTCTCGTACCATCACTCGTTACCGTGACACTATTAGCGTAGCCCGACGTCAAGAAAGTGGAAGGAAGAAAACAGCAACATAATTTGAAATGGTTCGAAAAGTGCAGAAGCGACTTGATCGAAACCCGCGTCGCAGTGGCCGAAAAATGGCTCGTGATCTGAACATATCGCAATATTCCATTCGGCAATTATTGAAAAATGAGCTCGGGGTGAAGCCATTGAAATTACAAAAAGTGCATGAACTTAACCGCAGCAGAAAGAAAATATACTGAAAATAGCTGAAAATGTGCACCTTCGGTTGGCCACCAGAACTTAAGCGCCGGCCATGGTCGACGAAGGTCGCTCTCCGCTAGTATTAATCGACCATGGCATCAGAATAAATGCCGAAAGTTATCGCGAAACATTGGAGGGTGTATTAAAGCCTTGGACCTTGAACATTCCTACAGGACTCAGCACCATCGCACTCAGCAGGCATCAACCAAGATTGGTTACAAAATGAGGTTTCTCGTTTCATTTCAAGCGCACACTGGCCACCAAAATATCCGGATACAAGTCCGTTGGACTATCGTGTCTGGGGTATTTTGGAAAGCAAGATTGGCACTAAAAAATACTAAATTGTCGATCACCTCAAGCAAGCGCTTTGCCAGGAATAAGCCAAAATACCGCAGAGCAACATTCGGGCAGCGTGTGACGGTTTCATTGGCCATAATTCGTGCCAAAGGTGATCAATTCGAACAAATCTAAACTTATTCTAAAATTTGATGCTATTTCCGACATTTTTTGCTTTCAGTAAATAAAATTAAAACAAAAATTAAAAATTATGGCGTTTGACTTTGTTGCAGTTTTTTTTATCTCACCCTGTAGATATTTTCATAGAATTGCTAGTCTTCTTATAAGATGTTTGCAGATTTTTTTCCCAGAAGATCTGTGGATTTTCAAGGAGATCAGCAATTCTTTGGACAAAAGACCTGTATTTTCTCCTTTAGAAAATATGTAGATTTTTAAAGATCTGTATATCATCCTAAAGAAGACCTGTAGATCTTCGGAAATTTTTTTTCTATATAAAATTGGTTTATATTTTCATAAAAAGTAAGTCCATATATAAATCTATTTATAAAAATTTTAGAGTAATGAGAGAGTAACTGACTGATTGATCAACTCCCAAACGAAATAGTGTTTTGTAGTGACATAAGATTGAGGTATTGCTATTGGGTAAATATATAGAGTTAGATTATTGAAATGTAAAATGAGGGTAACTGAAGTGGTGTTGTGGTAGAATATACATTTTTATAAAAAGTGTACTAAAAGTATAAAAAGCACTAAATTTGCTACTATTGGGCATTATGTGAATTTATGTTACATAGGGTTGGTAAATTTAAGTATTTTTTGGAATCCCGAGCATTAAATGTACTAAAAGTCCATTTGGAATTATGTGAAGGGATATAGGTAAAATCTTGGTATAAGGATCAAATTAAACAATTAAAAAACAGCTAAGTTCGGCCGGGCCATTTGGAAGGAAATTGACAAATTAAAAAAAAAAATCCGAAACTACCACTTAAACGAAAACCGTTATATGGTCCTAGGATGTAGTACCCATTATGAACTTTTAATACGAAATTGGTTACAACTACGATGAATAATGTAGCAAACACCATGAAAATACCGAGTATCAGAAGGTACCGTCATATGGGGGCTATACGAAGACGTGGACTTGCATACAAATTTTTTTCCCATAGCTTGTAGTATCCATTAAGATCTTCCAATACGAAATTTGAAACGATTCCGTTGAATAATGTTGCCGAAATCATCAAAATACCGACTATCGGGAGGTTATATGGGGGCTATACGAAGGCTTAACCTGCCTACTGGTAAACTATGCATGTATGCAAATTTTTAGCCTTCTATCTCAGTTCGTTCGAAAGTTAGCATGATTTCAACAAACAGGCGGACAGACGGACATCGCTAGATTGTCTTACGCTGATACAGAATATATATACTTTGTAGGGTCTATTATGGATAATTCGAGGAGTTACAAATGGAATGACAAAGTACATATACCCTCCATAGAATGGTGGAGGGTATAAAAAGCAGGTTACTTTGTAAATGTGGCTGTCTTAAATGGTACTACATTTAGTTTGGTTTTAGTGGAAATTTGATTCGGAGCTAGACTATTTTTTTAATCTTGGTATAAAGGCTGCTGCTGGTGGGTAGGGCTGACAAAAGTATTTAATAATTTGGAAAAGAGTTGTAAAAACAAGAGTACTAAAGCATACACAATTTGGTACCATTTTTAATTATGTTACCGACTAGAAGTAAAATTTTGAAATTTGTAATGATAATCAAGTTTAGGAAGTTGGGTTGATATGAGGAGGTGGTTTTTTTTATTCAGTGTACTGAGTGTAAGAACAGTATTGAATTGTACTGAATTTGGAACATTAAGGCTCAAATTTAACTTTCACCCTTTAGTTAAAATAAGAATTCAGAGCGAATTTGGAAATTAAAAAAAAAAGAATTAAAAATACCGAGAACATGAAGTAGCCGTTTTTTGGGATCTATACGAAAACGTGGACTGGCATAGATAATTTTCTGTCATAGGTTGTAGGTATATGGAAGCTATAGATATATCTGAAACGATTTTCGCCAAAATTTGGAGCTCTTACTGAATTCTGTCGGAATTGGCAAAAGTGCTGACAAAGAACCCCTTGTGACCATTCCGTTGAAAACTATGGCTAAAAACATCAAAATACCGAATATCGGGGGTACCGTTATATGAGGGCAATACGATATCGTGGACCTATATAGATAATTCTCTGCCGAGGTATAAAGTACCCACAAGGAACTCCTTGTGTGGATTTTCAGACAATTCCGATGAAAAATGTGGGTAAAATCATAAAAACGCCGAATATCGGGGGTACCGTTATATGGGGGATATACGATATCGTGGACCTATATAGAAAATTCTTTTTGAGGGGGTAAAATGCCCACGAGGGACTCCTTTTGTGGAATTTCAGACAATTCCATTGAAAAATGTGGCTAACATCATCAAAATACCGAATATCGGGGGGTACAGTTATATGAGGGCTATACGATATTGTGGACCTATATAGATAATTCTCTTCCGAGGTATAAAGTACCCACAAGGAACTCCTTGTGTGGATTATAAGACAATTCCATTGAAAAATGTGGCTAACATCATCAAAATACCGAATATCGGGGGTACCGTTATATGGGGGCTATACGATATCGTGGACCGATATAGCCCATCTTCGTACTTGACCAGCCTGCAGACAAAAGAGAGATCTGTGCACAATTTTAGCTTCTTATCTTAATCCGTTTAGACTGTAGCGTGATTACAACAGACGGACGGACGAACAGACGGACGGACAAGGCTAAATCGTCTTAGAATTTTACGCTGATCAAGAATATATATACTTTGTTGGGTCTAAAATGATTATTTCGATGAGTTACAAACGGAATGACGAACTTAATATACCCTCCATACTATGTATGGTGGAGGGTACAAAAATACCGAAAACATGAAGTAGCCGTTATTTTGGGGTCTATACGAAAACGTGGACCGGCATTGATAATTTTCTACACAGGTTGTAGCTATATTTAAGTTATAGATATATCTGAACCGGTTTTCGCCAAAATTTGAAGCTCTTTTTTTTATTAAGATACAAAAAATTATATTAAATTGTTTTTACTTTCTCATATTCATAGCATTCTAAAACTCTTCCAATAGGGTAACTCCGAAGACAATTATGCTCCGCTACTTTATATCTTTCCTACACTTGCACCCTTCCCCATTTAGAAATATTCACAAATCAAAAGTCTGATTGGAAAATCCACCCAATAAAAAACGATTTAATAACATTGCAACAACGTACGTGCCACCAAAATAAATTTGCTCCAGTTAAAATACTTAAATCATAATGTCCAAATAAATACAATTTCCAATTAATTATGTTCTCCACTAACCACAAAAAAATTGAAAAAAAAAAAGAAAACAATCAACCGCAATAGGCACATGTCAATCAACCGAAAATTGTCTGGCTGTCAAAGCGAATGCGAAGCAGACTATGACTGTGGAGGCGGTCGTTATGGCTGTGTGGCACAACTATTCAACAATCGGAAGCCA